TTTAGGGGTTGAGTAGGTATGCCTCCTTCAAAAACAAGCCTACTTGGCTCCATAATGATGTTTTGGTAAACTTTTATAAAATCAATCAAAACAAATAAAATATTCAAAAGCAGACTTGTTTACATCTATGCATTATTTCTATGACGAGCTTGAAAAAACAACTTCTGTAGTAGGAAAACTCAAATTAATGGTACAAATATTTTTAAAAATTTCACGACCCCTAGAACAACCTAAATCTCTCTCCAAACAATAAAAATCACTTAGGTTGTTTTATATAATAGCTTATTATTTAATTTATAAACCAGTTTATTGCTTTAATTATTAAGTCAACATAGTTTAGGATATAATAACAACTGGTAGGCCTTCTGACAAACTCTTTAGTGTTTGCAACCAAATTTCATGCATCGCTGTCGAAATTTTTATAAATGCTAATAAGTAATTAGTTTTTTTTACGAAGGTTCGCAACCGCAGAGGTTATATCAACCCTTGGGGTGCCGTTGTTATCTAAAAAAATCCCATTCTTAAGTATGTAGGGTTCGAATGCAGGGCCTCTGGATTCGAACCCGGGACCTTTATCTTACAGTGGAGCGCCGTGTCAATGCCTAAACCGTTGCGGCCCCCGACGCCTCTAATTTATGTTATTAGTTTAAAGTAGGGCAGTTCTGATGATGGTAATATATTGACAAAAATATAAGATTTAAATTAGAAAAGGTTTTTTTTATTATTATCACCAAGAAGTTCGATTATTACACTCCTAGTTACCATCTAGTCCTGATGAGATGAATCAAAACAAAAATCTATGCACTTTTTAAGTACACTTTTATTTTATTATTGCTCCTGATATGTATTGTTAATAAATGTTTGCGATAAAGACATATTTTAAATATACTACGACTGTTTATGAGTTTATTATTTTATCATTTATACATGGAAAACAATACAGTTTTTTATGTATTATAAAACCAGATTTTTGTATGCAGTTTTAATTTTTAAGACATATCGACGCAATTTCATTCAGGAATTGTTAATACTACTGTTACTAAAATAGATTTCAAAGGGCATTTATGTATTATATTTTACAATTTTTTTAAACTGTTGTTACTTTCATTTGTCATGAAAATCAGCATTGATTAATCATCTTGGTCGATCGGGCCTCTCAGGTTTGCTGGGGAAACTCAAGAACATCCGCCTTCCATCAACGTGTTATTAATCATACTTGACAGACAGGTTCTGACATGGAATAAAATTATCATCTTGTAGCAGTTTATCATGACAGATTTCCATCAAGGGAGCGCCCTTAGTCCGTTTACTTTAACAATATGCACTTCCGAGATACACGATCATTCCAACTCCAATCTTGGTTGCCATTACAAGAAAAAAATTATCGCTGATGAAAAAAAAAATTACGAGAAAGTTTTATTGTGTTGGGCGCACCGGCATAGAATTTAAAAAATTGATAACAGGATAAACTTTAGCTTATAAATATCACCTCTTTGGTGGAAATATAATTGAAATCGATCGATCTTTTCTGGAACTTATTGAAGATCTGGAATGCTTACAGAAACTCAATGTTCAAGATGAAACTAACCTAACAAATAATTAAAAATATTATTTGAATGATAGGCAGATTTTAGGTACTGATAAAATAAGAATACCGACACAAATCTAAATTTTGGCCTTTAGAAAACGTTCCACTCCTTATTTTTTATGTTGAATAGCACAGTACACTAGTTTCTATAAGGAACAAATTCCGTTCAAAAAATTCCGTCAACCTCCAGTTGAAGTTTTTATCCTTATAATCATCTTAAGCAAAAATAAAAACATGGTCGGTGGTAGTGGATAAATAAACGTGAAATTTACAATAACACTGGAGGGAGTCCTATTTGGAAGAGGCAATCGATTTCTAAAACCTTCTCGGCTCACTGGGCCGAAAGGGCCTTTCAAATGATTGTAGATAATTTTGAAAAATTGAAAAAACAGGTGACGATAAAGGAAAAAAGAGAAAAATAAATGTATAAATCTTTCCCAACCCTGAAAAATGGTTTCTAGGGAGAATCAATCCCCACACTTCCAAATAGGAAACCCGAGCTACAAACTAACACCCAGCAGACTTGTCTAATCTACAAAATACTTGGCCAATTGATCTCACCTCACCAAAAACATCAAAAAAACACTATACTGACGAAAACACGTCCTAGCTACCAGAACACACCACTATCACCCGGAGCGGAAATTCTTGCTTGTTTCAAGTTTTATAGTCAAGTGATCTCTCCTATTATTATTATTATTATTGGAAAGGGTACTAGGAAGCGGGGTTTGTATTCCCTAGGCACTGCAGCCTTCTGGCTTATTGTACCTTATTTTATTGTTATTAGTAAAAATACTTTACATGACGGACCAAATACTGACGTTTCTAAAACGACCTAGCACGTGTGACAGACAGACTAAATATAAATGGGACTAGGGCAATCAGGAACTGCCAAACTGGAAAAAACCCTTTTCTTTCGCAACTATTTTAAATAATTATTTTTATGATGAAGGACATTAAGAAAAATGTTATGAGCGAGCAAGAGCAAATTTGATAGTTTATCTTTTGACAGGCAGGTGTTAAATAAATAATCAGAGATGTTGGGTCTTCTTTTGGTTCGAGAATGATTTTATCATCGTCATATATCGACAGCATTGTGCCCGAGTGGTTTGAAATAAAGTGATTAAGTAACAAAGGAGGACAAGCACACCACCTTGAGGAGCTCCAATTTGGATCGGGCAGAGAAAAATTTCTGCAGAATTGTGTCTGACCAATAAGAATAATTTTTTAATGCTAAAGAGTTAAAGGTTAAAATGAGCTTCATTATGATCTATGCACCGCGATCATTATTGGTCTATTGTGCATCTATATAGACCTCCCTTTTCTTTCAAGTACCGAAACTTGCTTAAGACTCCCGTCTGTATCCTTCAGACCCCGGATTTTCTTCCGCTGGAAATAGGACGCTCAGCCTACATACGCTTTCCTCTTCCCTTTTCCAATAACTGCCCAGGCTTGTTTCTGCGGCTCCAGAGTTTATACATATGGCTTTGGAGTTTGCAGGGTCCAGCTATTGTTCTATTGATATCACGTCCAAGTTTAGGAGTTCTGCCATTTGTTTCTACAATGGTACATTGATGAACTTTTTCGCATGACATGTCGTTCCCGAGTACTCGTAGTACTCACATACTAGAGGATCTTTAGCGTCAGATATTCGGCCTTATCGGACGTTTTGATTCTCAAGATGAGAGCTGACGCACCTCCGCATACGACGGAAGAGTACCGCCGCAGCATTGGTGTAGAGGCGTCCCAGCCCTTAAGGACCAAGAACAACCTCGCTCTCCGCTTGTCCACTCCGATTGGTCCTCATTGTGCATCGGGTCGTATGCCGCGCGCAAAGGGCTTACAAGCCGAAATACATCAGCCTGTTCTCCCGCGCACTCCCTAGATAGAGAAGGCGACTCTATCTCCCAGACTATTGCGGCTTCCCATAGCGCAGAAACTACCGGATCCGCCCCGTCCGCGGTTTTGTTTTAAGTGGAATTGCACACCACCCCCTAGATGAGCACCGCCTACGGTAAAACCTCCTGTCGAGCTCAGCCTACACCTGCTATGCGCATTCGAGGGACGCCATAGGCTCAACCTATGTGGTCCGACCTTCGCTTCCCCAAGGGTACCACGCCGGTCATACGCACAACAATGCAAAGCATACTCGAGTCAGAGAAACCGATTCACTACCCGTTTCCGTTCGCTTACTCACGCATTCGAGGGACTATTCAACATAATCATCGCGTCCTCAACGCATATACGCTGTCGTCCGGTCCACCGTCTCTCGTGAGGCCGGGGGGGTTTTACGTTGGCCATACGCAAGCTTCACGAATGTCACAAATAGAAGACAGCCTCTGTCTAAGTTCCCGCCAGGGATGTCACCACGTACCACCACGAATCCATTCCCAGTGTAACTAGGGCTGAATTTGGAATGTTTAGTTACCCCGTGGTACAGATGGCCATACACCCTTCCCAGTCTATGCAGACAGGATCTGGTGCACTGGGCCTCGTCTTTCGCATGACCGCCGAAGATTTATTCTTCAACTGTTAACTGACGGATCTACTTTGGGCAGTTTAGTATACCGCAAAAACGTTCATGGCCAATTGATAATTGGAGTTTCCATGGCCAATTTTCGGTCTCTTTGTTGCTCGCACGCCTCCCCAAATGATAAGGTAAAATATATAAAATTAAAACCAAGAGTGGAGAAAACACCCATTGCTATTACTCCAATGTTACTAAAATATTGCCTGTTTAATTGATACTTGTGTCATTATCATCTTCACTATCAACACCATCCCTTCCTAGGAGATCTCGCGCCATTATTTCTTCAGTCGGTGGAGAGGGTTGGATTCGTCGGGATGCGAGGTTTCTGATGTGCTGATTTACGACAGTTGAGAGGTTTTTATGCAATTTACGGAAACGGGAACATAATTTCATCTTGAATGAAAGGGTATGTAAATCTGTATGATTCGATACATAAAATGGAGCATATAGTATTACGTACATTATGTGGTACGTATGAGATTAGTTCCGTTTATTTCAAGGCGTCAAGAATATGTAAACAGTATACACCTGGATGTGTTGCGTTATTGTCGTTTACTGTTTAAGTTTCAACATTCGTTGCTTGAATTCACTAAATTCATAATCCTTCCAAGTTGGAACGGAAGATTTAAAATCTGTTTTTAATTGAGACTTCCGCTTTACCATAATGCAGAAACGATTAAAGAGGGGACGGTGGATCGTGAAATGACGGTAGTACATAGTAGTTCGTTAGTAGAGCATTGTCTCTGAGCCGGTAGTTGTTCGAAAGTTTTCTTTGCCTGTCGGATTATTTCTCAGAGTTGACCTTTCACATTTCATTTTAATAGCCCCGGGGCGGGGGTCGGCGAAAGTTCGGGGGCGGTTTCTGGCCACGCGAGTGAGAAGCCGAGGGGGATTTTCTCACGAAACCCGTTTGGAAAATCGTTGCATTCTTCTCCGCCCCTTTATTAACAGCCTGTTTGCCGTTTTTTCAGTCGGGGTCGAATTGCGCCTGAGACCGGAGCGACCTCTCCGACCGCGTTTCTTATAGCCTACCAAGCCGTCCTGCCCAGAATATCACACACGGGTTAAGCTCAAGTTCGGATTTGTGTACTGTGTTAGGAGGGTCCGTGTGCACGCGAGATTCCATGACCCCCCACTACCGAGATATTATCTAAATTAGGCCCCTGCCTTTCCCACTTCCTAATTCCCTGTATTTATATGTCTAGTTGCCTGCTAGAGCTCCGAGGGGATATACAGTGTTGGGTAAAACCTCTCAACTATGGTTAACGGTGAGTCGACAATTTGCCAAAACGCTCCAGATCCTCCACTTTGCCAGTACGGTGCCTGCGTGCCGGACAATGGCCGGCCGTCTGGTACACCAGCTCGCAAGAGTATGCGCACTGTCTCGCTTCCTTCTCCTTTGACAATTTTGGAGAAAATTGAAATAAAATAGAACGACCACGTAGCTATGTATTTAACGGCTTCATATTTTTCCTCAAAAGGGTTGCATGTTTACGACAGACAGTAATATCGAACTACACAAACTCGTTTCATGCTTCAATTTGGAATGGGTTGACTTTTATTATGATGGCTTTCGTCTATTTTGCAATTTCCTATTTTCTTGCACTTTTATTCTCTTTAACAAAACGAACCTTTTGTATATAAAATTATTTATATTTAGTTCTATTTGGACGCAAGAGCACATGATGCTTTGAATCATGATTTCATTTGTTTGATGACAAACCCTATGAAATACCATCACACTACTGAATGACACATGCCATGTTTATGATCTGATGTGTGAAACAATTTCTTTTCGTTGATATTGTTCAGATAAAGGGATGCGTGTTTATCAAAGAAGAAATGAATATAGCAAAAGAGAAATGAGAAAATAATTTGCAGTTTGTTGTTTCCGTTCAAGGAGTTTTTTCATACCTTCTGGTTGGTGTTGTTGGTTCTTGTCATCTTCAGTTGACAAGTTCTAAATCACTCCTACCCTAAGACAGCGAGAAACTCAAAAGTCTCTGCCAGAGAGGAGGATACGAGAACCAAAATTATTTTAATCGACCAAACTACAGGTTCTTCAGCACGCAGCCCCAAGAAATATTCTCCCTGGGTATTAATTATTATCATCATGGTTGTAACTTTTTTATCACACTTTTTGGAACAAAAATGAAGCAAAATGTCTTAAAACAATTTTAAATTGATGACAGTTTAAATATTTGTCAAATAAACATATCTTTTAGTCACTTTTTTAACCACGGTTTTTCTTATCTTAACTCGCCACTTTCTACAGATTAGATAATGATTATAAAATTCCGCTATTTACCTACCACAGAATTTTCAACGGCCACCCTTAAAATGCGCGGCAAAGTATGCTTTGTATGCGACATACAAAAACTCTTGTGTATAAAGCGAACAACGGTGTGGCTTAAAACCTTCAAAGAGCCTCAATTTATTTTTTAAAGTACCTACTTCATTTAATGTACTGCGAGGTTGAAGAAAAAAGTTTTAATTTATACTGATAAAAAATCTCGGGTTTTTAATTAATAAATAAAACCGAAAGTTTTACTCAAACTTATGGTCTATAATAATTTGTGTCGATATTCTGACCAATCCTATAAAAATATTCATATATTACTGAATTAAATAGTTTAATAGTTTAATTTAATCATATACGTTTGCCAATTTCTTTACAGTAACCGTACAAATTTCAATTTTCAGTTATTATTCAATAAAAGTCATTGTAATAATCCAAGTTTATGATTTATCTGAAGTTTTTTGATAGTGTCCACCCTAATTTTATGGAACTCCATAATAAGTCGAATGGTAAGGTATAAATTGTTTTTTTCCACAATAGGCCCTTATTTCGTCAGATGCGTTTCGGTCTAACATAAACCATCTTCAGCGATTAAATAACAAAATTAGTACAAACTATTATAATTATTTTAGTTATTTAATCACTGAAGATAGTTTACATTTGTCCGAAACGCGTCTGCCGTGAAATAAACGTGGAAAATGTGGAAAAGACAATTCATTTTTTACCAATCACTTTTTGTCTGAGGAACTCAAATTTTAAAATGATAACATAGTCATATAGTCTAGTTCTAAATTCTAATAATGAATCTTCATTTATTACTGCAGTATTTTACTAGTAAAATTAGAAAATATCTTTTTATAAATAAAACTTTAAACTTAAAACTTTTCATTTTCTCTATCTCCTTTCTATCTCCTTCTCTCCCTTTTTCACCCTCACTCTTTTTCTATCTATCTATCGATCTCTATATCTATCTATCTGTTTATCTATTTAATTATCTATCTGTCTGTCTGCGTCTCCCTCTTTATCTCCCTATTTATATATCTTACTATCTACACATTTATCTTTTTATTCTTAATTCACACGCACAAAATATGCAATATGTTGTTGAATTTAGACTGGTGAGTATTTGACCAAAATGTGCGACTGTAAATAAAACTGCATTCATTCTCTGTATCCTATCTATCTATCTACATCTACACTGTCTTCCTAGTTATCTAGTTATCTTCTTCTTTTATACATACATATAAAAGATATATTTGCGGTTCTAGATAGGGAAAAAGTATAAGTCAAATTCAAATTCTTAATTTTAAATTAAAATCCCCATTTTGTCATTGAAACTAGATGTTTCGGCGAGAAAAAAGAGCACTGTGTTATTAAAATCGGTTCAATAGAACTGGAGCTATGATTTTTTTTAAATAGCCGAGTTGCTGTTCTATTGCGTTAGATCGAAACCACTTTATTTTCCCTTCTACTGCAAATATTTTGAAGAGGAGTGGAAAATCAGCCAAAGTAGAGTGAAAAGTCTGAAATTTTACTAAATATCCTGCCAAATGCCTTAAATTTGGTATTTTGTAGCGTTTTTTCTCCTCGACCAATGATCTCACCCAAAACTCAATCATCGACATACCTTGGTTGCAGTTCCAACCCACCTCCTTTCTCAGCCGGGGTTGTGACCAGCCACAGGGAATTAATTAATTATTCTTGATTAATGGATATCTGGGAATAACAAGATTAAATAGCAAATCAATGTAATATAGGATCTAACACTGTTTATTTTTCATTTCCAGATTTTCTCTCTCACATACATCACATACACATGCTTTCTTCGCTATTATTTTTTACTATATTTCACTCTCACTCTCTACTTATTTATTTATGTAGCTATACATTGATTTGCATTTTTATTCTTTATTTTTATTTGTACTTCTGCATTTCTCCTTCTCTCACTTTTATTCTCTCTCTCTCTCTCTCTCTCTCTCTCTCTCTCTCTCTCTCTCTCTCTCTCTCTCTTTCATAACTTTATGTCTTTCTCTTTTTCTCTGACTGAAACACCCAATCTCCCGTTTGAGTTATCTTTTGAGCTATTCCAATATGCTTCTTATTTTTCCTTCTGTGTCTTTTTTTATCCATGTTTTTCTTATAAGATTTTTATAGTAGACATCTGTACAATTCTATCTATCAACAAATTTATGTATTTCTCTATACATCTGTCACATGTCTAAATCTTTCTTTTCTCTTCCCTTTTTTCTTAACGTTAACGTTTTCTTAACAACGAATTTATAACACGTCGCAACAAAGCAACGGGCAGAGAGTTGCCTCGTCGATGTTCCATACAACAAGGTTTTGTGCCAACGTGAAAATATTAATTGTACATTGTCTCAATTGACGGCCAGTTGGATCAACAGTTAACTGTTGATTTGACCACATTCAGATGTAAATGAAGAAACTTTTACGGAACGAGTAAACCGACCAGGAATGAGAAAACTATAGCAATTAGCAAAAAGCATTACGCTCTTCACGCTAAATTAATTACTCCAAAATTAAGATTGATGTAAAAACGTCATGAAGTAATTTAGAAAACAAGGCTTTAAAAATTCTTTCAAATTGGGGTGGAAAAAAATTAGATAAAGAGGGCTGGAACCTGGCTAGAGGTCAGTCTTTTAACATCCGAGTTGAGGGAAGGAAGCCCTCTAAGTAGACGTTTTAGGGTTTTCTTTGAAATGCGAATAGAAACAGCAGTGGCAGGAAACTGGAACAAGGACAGATTCTGTTGCTGAGTTATGGGACTCTTTCCGGTGGACATGCGGACCAGTTTGCAAACATGTCGGAGTAAGTTTGCCAAGTCCCAGAGAACTTGAAGCGTAGTCGTTTCCTCCAGTTAAACATTCCCAACAATTATCATTTTTCCTCTGTGTGTTTGTGTTTACGAGATTTGCAATGGCGTTGGATTGGATGAGTAATCGGTTCGAGCTCTCTGCTCAGAACGAGCGAAGCAATTTCACAATTGGATCATAAATCGCTACCAAGGAATTCTGATGGCCTTCCCATAGGATATTTGGCCCTTCATTCTCGTAGATTTACTTTCACCCCATAAATTTTACAAGCTCAATGGAAATCGTTGTGTGACCGAAAAATCCAATGAATTCCCAACAGGGACCCGATGTTCCAAATAGAAACTAATAAATTTTAATTTAGGAACGTAATTCTATGCAAATATTCTTCGACATTCTTTTAGATCTTTTAAACGAATAGGTCAATAAAATACATGGTGGAAAGGGAATAAAACTGGAAATATTTAGCGAAGGAAGACGCCCAATTTCTGTTTGGATGGAATTTTTATTTATTAAAAGTCGCTATTTCATTTTTAACTGAACATAGAAAGTAAATTATTAAACTATCTGTTCTTTCCTCCCCCCACCCCGTGTTTTACATTATCCAGAAAAAAGACAACCATATTTTTCAATACTGAGTCCTTCTCCGCTCAAGACTGTACATTTTAATTTTTACACGTTAATTATTTTTCAATTATTATTATATTTGCACGCTGCAGTTAATTCTTTGGTTGTAAATTTCAAGTAAAACAGAAAATATAGTTAATGACATTATAAATTTGTTAGTATTAACATTGAATTCTGATTGTGGAATTACACTACATAATACCATTGACAACAAATACGAACAACTGTCAAACATACTACAAACGAAGACAGAAAAAAACTACTGATTGAATATATAAAAAAAAATATATTTTTCATTGTATAAATTCACTTTTTCACATCCAAAATTTACTTGTTATATGTAAACAATGTTTGTAAATCCCAGGCCCTGTAGATGATCTCAATAAAGATCGAAACGTTGGCACGATAAAGAAAATGTTTTTCTGAAACCTACATCACACCAGACCGCATCTCACGATTTCTAAATAAATATCGATTAACGGTCACTAATCACCACACATAAAAAAAATAA